GTTATGCTCACTGGAAGTTGTTATGCTCACTAGAAGCTGTTATGCTCATTGGAAGCTGCTATGCTCACTGGAAGTTGTTATGCTCACTGGAAGCTGTTATGCTCACTGAAGCTGTTATGCTCACTGGAAGCTGTTATGCTCACTGGAAGCTGTTATGCTCACTGGAAGCTGTTATGCTCACTGGAAGCTGTTATGCTCACTGGAAGCTGTTATGCTCACTGGAAGCTGTTATGCTCACTGGAAGCTGTTAGTCACTGAAGCTGTATGCTCACTAGGAAGCTGTTATGCTCACTGGAAGCTGTTATGCTCACTGGAAGCTGTTATGCTCACTGGAAGCTGTTATGCTCACTGGAAGCTGTTATGCTCACTGGAAGCTGTTATGCTCACTGGAAGCTGTTATGCTCACTGGAAGCTGTTATGCTCACTGGAAGCTGTTATGCTCACTGGAAGCTGTTATGCTCACTGGAAGCTGTTATGCTCACTGGAAGCTGTTATGCTCACTGGAAGCTGTTATGCTCACTGGAAGCTGTTATGCTCACTGGAAGCTGTTATGCTCACTGGAAGCTGTTATGCTCACTGGAAGCTGTTATGCTCACTGGAAGCTGTTATGCTCACTGGAAGCTGTTATGCTCACTGGAAGCTGTTATGCTCACTGGAAGCTGTTATGCTCACTGGAAGCTGTTATGCTCACTGGAAGCTGTTATGCTCACTGGAAGCTGTTTATGCTCACTGGAAGCTGTTATGCTCACTGGAAGCTGTTATCCTCACTAGAAGCTGCTATGCTCACTGGAAGCTGTTATGCTCACTGGAAGCTGTTATGCTCACTGGAAGCTGCTATGCTCACTGGAAGCTATTATGCTCACTGGAAGCTGTTATGCTCACTGGAAGCTGTTATGCTCACTGGAAGCTGTTATGCTCACTGGAAGCTGTTATGCTCACTGGAAGCTGTTATGCTCACTGGAAGCTGTTATGCTCACTGGAAGCTCTTATGCTCACTGGAAGTTGCTATGCTCACTGGAAGCTGTTATGCTCACTGGAAGCTGTTATGCTCACTAGAAGCTGCTATGCTCACTGGAAGCTGCTATGCTCACTGGAAGCTGTTATGCTCACTGGAAGCTGTTATGCTCACTGGAAGCTGTTATGCTCACTGAAAGCTGTTATGCTCACTGGAAGCTGTTATGCTCACTAGAAGCTGCTATGCTCACTGGAAGCTGCTATGCTCACTGGAAGCTGTTATGCTCACTGGAAGCTGTTATGCTCACTGGAAGCTGTTATGCTCACTGGAAGCTGTTATGCTCACTGGAAGCTGTTATGCTCACTGGAAGCTGTTATGCTCACTGGAAGCTGTTATGCTCACTGGAAGCTGTTATCCTCACTGGAAGGCTGTTATTACTAGCTGCTATGCTCACTGGAAGCTGTTATGCTCACTGGAAGCTGTTATGCTCACTGGAAGCTGTTATGCTCACTGGAAGCTATTATGCTCACTGGAAGCTGTTATGCTCACTGGAAGCTGTTATGCTCACTGGAAGCTGTTATGCTCACTGGAAGCTGTTATGCTCACTGGAAGCTGTTATGCTCACTGGAAGCTGTTATGCTCACTGGAAGCTCTTATGCTCACTGGAAGATGCTATGCTCACTGGAAGCTGTTATGCTCACTGGAAGCTGTTATGCTCACTAGAAGCTGCTATGCTCACTGGAAGCTGCTATGCTCACTGGAAGCTGTTATGCTCACTGGAAGCTGTTATGCTCACTGGAAGCTGTTATGCTCACTGAAAGCTGTTATGCTCACTGGAAGCTGTTATGCTCACTGGAAGCTCTTATGCTCACTGGAAGATGCTATGCTCACTGGAAGCTTTTATGCTCACTGGAAGCTGTTATGCTCACTAGAAGCTGCTATGCTCACTGGAAGCTGCTATGCTCACTGGAAGCTGTTATGCTCACTGGAAGCTGTTATGCTCACTGGAAGCTGTTATGCTCACTGAAAGCTGTTATGCTCACTGGAAGCTGTTATGCTCACTGGAAGCTGTTATGCTCACTGGAAGCTGTTATGCTCACTGGAAGCTGTTATGCTCACTGGAAGCTGTTATGCTCACTGGAAGCTGTTATGCTCACTGGAAGCTGTTATGCTCACTGGAAGCTGTTATGCTCACTGGAAGCTGTTATGCTCATTGGAAGCTGTTATGCTCACTGGAAGCTGTTATGCTCACTGGAAGCTGTTATGCTCACTGGAAGCTGTTATGCTCACTGAAAGCTGTTATGCTCACTGGAAGCTGTTATGCTCACTGGAAGCTGTTATGCTCACTGGAAGCTGTTATGCTCACTGGAAGCTGCTATGCTCACTGGAAGCTGTTATGCTCACTGGAAGCTGTTATGCTCACTGGAAGCTGTTATGCTCACTGGAAGCTGTTATGCTCACTGGAAGCTGTTATGCTCACTGGAAGCTGTTATGCTCACTGGAAGCTGCTATGCTCACTGGAAGCTGTTATGCTCACTGGAAGCTGTTATGCTCACTGGAAGCTGTTATGCTCACTGGAAGCTGTTATGCTCACTGGAAGCTCTTATGCTCACTGGAAGCTATTATGCTCACTGGAAGCTGTTATGCTCACTGGAAGCTGTTATGCTCACTGGAAGCTGTTATGCTCACTGGAAGCTGTTATGCTCACTGGAAGCTGTTATGCTCACTGGAAGCTGTTATGCTCACTGGAAGCTCTTATGCTCACTGGAAGTTGCTATGCTCACTGGAAGCTGTTATGCTCACTGGAAGCTGTTATGCTCACTAGAAGCTGCTATGCTCACTGGAAGCTGCTATGCTCACTGGAAGCTGTTATGCTCACTGGAAGCTGTTATGCTCACTGGAAGCTGTTATGCTCACTGAAAGCTGTTATGCTCACTGGAAGCTGTTATGCTCACTAGAAGCTGCTATGCTCACTGGAAGCTGCTATGCTCACTGGAAGCTGTTATGCTCACTGGAAGCTGTTATGCTCACTGGAAGCTGTTATGCTCACTGGAAGCTGTTATGCTCACTGGAAGCTGTTATGCTCACTGGAAGCTGTTATGCTCACTGGAAGCTGTTATGCTCACTGGAAGCTGTTATCCTCACTAGAAGCTGCTATGCTCACTGGAAGCTGTTATGCTCACTGGAAGCTGTTATGCTCACTGGAAGCTGTTATGCTCACTGGAAGCTATTATGCTCACTGGAAGCTGTTATGCTCACTGGAAGCTGTTATGCTCACTGGAAGCTGTTATGCTCACTGGAAGCTGTTATGCTCACTGGAAGCTGTTATGCTCACTGGAAGCTGTTATGCTCACTGGAAGCTCTTATGCTCACTGGAAGATGCTATGCTCACTGGAAGCTGTTATGCTCACTGGAAGCTGTTATGCTCACTAGAAGCTGCTATGCTCACTGGAAGCTGCTATGCTCACTGGAAGCTGTTATGCTCACTGGAAGCTGTTATGCTCACTGGAAGCTGTTATGCTCACTGAAAGCTGTTATGCTCACTGGAAGCTGTTATGCTCACTGGAAGCTCTTATGCTCACTGGAAGATGCTATGCTCACTGGAAGCTTTTATGCTCACTGGAAGCTGTTATGCTCACTAGAAGCTGCTATGCTCACTGGAAGCTGCTATGCTCACTGGAAGCTGTTATGCTCACTGGAAGCTGTTATGCTCACTGGAAGCTGTTATGCTCACTGAAAGCTGTTATGCTCACTGGAAGCTGTTATGCTCACTGGAAGCTGTTATGCTCACTGGAAGCTGTTATGCTCACTGGAAGCTGTTATGCTCACTGGAAGCTGTTATGCTCACTGGAAGCTGTTATGCTCACTGGAAGCTGTTATGCTCACTGGAAGCTGTTATGCTCACTGGAAGCTGTTATGCTCATTGGAAGCTGTTATGCTCACTGGAAGCTGTTATGCTCACTGGAAGCTGTTATGCTCACTGGAAGCTGTTATGCTCACTGAAAGCTGTTATGCTCACTGGAAGCTGTTATGCTCACTGGAAGCTGTTATGCTCACTGGAAGCTGTTATGCTCACTGGAAGCTGCTATGCTCACTGGAAGCTGTTATGCTCACTGGAAGCTGTTATGCTCACTGGAAGCTGTTATGCTCACTGGAAGCTGTTATGCTCACTGGAAGCTGTTATGCTCACTGGAAGCTGTTATGCTCACTGGAAGCTGCTATGCTCACTGGAAGCTGTTATGCTCACTGGAAGCTGTTATGCTCACTGGAAGCTGTTATGCTCACTGGAAGCTGTTATGCTCACTGGAAGCTCTTATGCTCACTGGAAGCTATTATGCTCACTGGAAGCTGTTATGCTCACTGGAAGCTGTTATGCTCACTGGAAGCTGTTATGCTCACTGGAAGCTGTTATGCTCACTGGAAGCTGTTATGCTCACTGGAAGCTGCTATGCTCACTGGAAGCTGTTATGCTCACTGGAAGCTGTTATGCTCACTGGAAGCTGTTATGCTCACTGGAAGCTGTTATGCTCACTGGAAGCTGTTATGCTCACTGGAAGCTGTTATGCTCACTGGAAGCTGTTATGCTCACTGGAAGCTTTTATGCTCACTGGAAGCTGCTATGCTCACTGGAAGCTGTTATGCTCACTGGAAGCTGTTATGCTCACTGGAAGCTGTTATGCTCACTGGAAGCTGTTATGCTCACTGGAAGCTGTTATGCTCACTGGAAGGTGCTTGATTATCCACCCACCCACCCACCCACCCACCCACCCACCCACCTGCAGATTGCTGAAAATTCGTCCCATGGTCGCCTCCTGCTGCAGCATCTCCCTCAGCCGCCCCGGCGTTGCCACCACCATGTGCGGCCGAGCGGCCAGTTGCATGGCCTGAGGGGCAGGCAACATGGGGAGCAGGAGAGAGGGAGAGGGAGCAGGGTTTGGGGGTTGGGGGAGGCAGGAGAGGGAAGAGCGAAGAGGGGAGAGGGCCAGGTGCGAAGTGAAGGGAGAATTGCAGTCACATTTGAACGCAATCATTAGAAAACCTTGAGTCATGCAGGCACTACGTCCACTACTACCACCACGTCTGACTGACCCGCTAGGTGCACAACCAAAGGGGCAAGCGAGGGGAGAAAGCAAAGGGCAAGCAGTTCCATAGAGGACAAGGTGAAAGCCCCAAAACAGTTGCACTTTTGAGCAATCCCAGAAAAGGGCCTGAGAGGGGAAGGTGAAAGCCCCAAAACTGGGCCCATAGAGAAGGTTGCATCGTGGAACAAAGTGAAAGCGATGTGACGTGTGTAACTCGTATGTCGACTTGCTGCATCCCCTTTGCCAAACCCCCATGCCCGTCCCCCCATGCCCGTCCCCCCATGCCCGTCCCCCCATGCAAGTCCCCCCATGCCCATCCCCCCATGCCCGTCCCCCCATGCCCGTCCCCCCATGCCCGTCCCCCATGCCCGTCCCCCCATGCCCGTCCCCCCATGCCCGTCCCCCCGTGCCCGTCCCCCCATGCCCGTCCCCCCATGCCCGTCCCCCCATGCAAGACCCCCATGCCCGTCCCCCCATGCCCGTCCCCCCATGCCCGTCCCCCCATGCAAGTCCCCCCATGCCCATCCCCCCATGCCCGTCCCCCCATGCCCGTCCCCCCATGCCCGTCCCCCCATGCAAGTCCCCCCATGCCCATCCCCCCATGCCCGTCCCCCCATGCCCGTCCCCCCATGCCCGTCCCCCCATGCCCGTCCCCCCGTGCCCGTCCCCCCATGCCCGTCCCCCCATGCCCGTCCCCCCATGCAAGACCCCCATGCCCGTCCCCCCATGCCCGTCCCCCCATGCCCGTCCCCCCATGCCCGTCCCCCCATGCCTGTTGCCCGTCCCTCCTCCATGGTGTTTACTTCACCTGTGCATCTCATCTCAGCTGCTGACACGACACCAGGTTCAGAGCCTCCCTTCTCTCTCACCTCCTCCACCATGTCACCCTCGCCAATGGCATCAGCGCAGTGCAGGCAGAGAGAGGGACGACCCCACAGGCTAGAGCCTGGAAATGGTCAGATGGTTGGTTGGTAGTAAGTAACACAATAACCCAGCCCAACCCAAACCCGGGTCTCTCTTCTCATCTGCTCCACCATGCCACCTCAGCCCATGGCAATGACACAGCACAGTGCAGCGAGAGCGATGACTCCAGGACTAGGGCTGTGACTGAACTGCTACTAGGGCTACTGGACTAGGGCTGTGACTGAACTGCTACTAGGGCTACTGGACTAGGGCTGTGACTGAACTGCTACTACAGAAACGAAGCCCAAACCCCAAGCTCTCCTTCTCACTCACCTGCTCCACCATGTCACCCCCGCCAATGGCAATGGCACAACGCAGCGAGAGCGACGATCCCAGAGCGCGGAACTGGTCGGCGATTTGCAGGGCAAGCTCCCTGGTGGGGGTGAGCACCAGGGCGAAGACTCCATACGGGTCCTCTGCTAGCTTCTGCAGGGAGGTGGAAAGAGGGGGAAGAGAAGACAGGTGCAGGTAAGCAAAGAAGAGGAAATGCATGTGGGGCAGTAGAGCCTGGAACCGGTCGGCGATCTGCAGAGCAAGCTCCCTGGTGGGCGTGAGGACAAGAGCTAACACGCCATACGGGTCATCCGCTAGCTTCTGCAGGAGCGTTAAGGAGGGAGTAGGTACAGGTAAGGGGAGGGAGAGGATGCATGTGCGTGTGGCGGAAGCAGAGCCCGGAACTGGTCGGCGATCTGCAGAGCGAGCTCCATGGTGGGAGTGAGGAGGAGAGCGAAGACCCCATAGGGGTCCTCAGCTAGCTTCTGCAGGGGGGGAGCCGGGGCGGGTGGAGGGATGCAGAAAGAAGAAAAAGTGGGTGGGGTGGGGAAACAGGAGTCGCAAAACTGGTGGGCGATTTGCCGCGCGAGCTTCCTGGTGGGTGTCCGCACCAAGGCAAACACCCCATATGGGCCCTCTGCTTGCTTCTGTAACGAGCAAGGCAGGGGGGCTTGGAAGGGTGCAGTGCAGTTGCAGTGCATGCAGATGGACGGAAGAGGGTCGCTGAACTGGTGGGCGCTCTGCAAAGCAAGCTTCCTGGTGGGATGGGATGGGATGGGATGGGATGAGATGGGATGGGATGGGATGGGATGGGATGGGATGGGATGGGATGGGATGGGATGGGATGGGATGGGATGGGAGGCATGACCAGGGCGAAGACGCCATAGGGGGGTCCTCGGCTAGGCTCTGCAGCAGTGAGTTGGAAAACGGGGAAAAGGCAGGCGCAGGAGAGTGTAGCAGAGCCCGGAACTGGTCAGCGATCTGCAGGGCGAGCTCCCTGGTAGGGTTGAGGAGGAGCAGGGCGAACACGTCTGGGCTAGCTTCTGCGCAGGTGAGAGGAGGGCAGGCGGACGGGCGCAGGTGGGGAGAGGAGAGAGCGTCCCAGAACTGGTCGGCGATCTGCAGAGCAGACAGAGATTCCCAGTGGGCATCAGGACTAGGCCGAAACAAACACCCCATAGCATAGGTGTCCTTGGCAGCGGACAAGGCAAGAGTCAAGACAGGTCGGGTGGAGGGATGCAGAGGGGGGGCGGGGGGGGAGTGAGGTTGGGTAAGAAAAGGGTTTCTGAATAGGTGGGCGATCTGAACTGCAGCAGCGCAAGCTCCCTGATGGAAACCAACAGGATCAGCACAAGGCCCCATCAGCAGGGCCTTGGGTAATTTCTAGGGGACAAAGGGGTGGGTGGACAAGTACAGGTAAGGGGACAGGGAGAGGGTGTATGTGTCGGGGGAGAAAGGTAGTTCCCGATAGTTACAGCACACTGCAGTGGGGCTCAGGGTTTAAGGCTTGGGGTTTCATAGTGAAAAACCTACCTGCAGAATAGGCAGGGCGAAAGCAGCCGTTTTCCCACTGCCGGTCTGAGCCACACCAATCACGTTGCTCCCCGCAACGACGGGGGGGATGCACGCGCACTGCACTGGGGTGGGATGGCGCAGACCCATCTCATGACACGTGGCGACCAGCCACGGCGCCAGTGCCAGGTCAGCGAAGGAGTCACACGTGGCAGTGGCTGACAGGGACACGTCGGCCTTGGCGAGGAGGGCAGTTGCTGCTGCGTCGTTCTCCTCTGTTCCTCCGCCCTCTGCTTTCTCTTCCCTCCCCTCTTCCTCCTCCTCCTCCTCCCCTTCACAACCATCATCCATCTCCTTTTCCCCTTCCTCTTCCACCTCCCCCTCTTCCTCTCCTCCTCCCTCCTCTCCATCCTCCTCCCCCTCCTCCCATTCTCCATCCGCCTCTCCACCAACCCCCGCCTTCCCCCTCTTCCCCCCGCCCACCCGCTTCCGCCGTCCCCCGCGCCCCCTCTCCCCCAATGGCTCCCTCGCCTGCGCGCCATCTGTGCTGACGTCACCTGCCTCCTCACCACCCCTGACGTCGCCACGTGTATGCCCTATCCCGTCCACGTCAGCACCGCAAACACCCCTCTGCGACTCCTCGCCTCCCCGTAAACTCCGCCTTCCGTTAGATCTCCCTCCTCGTTTCCTCCTCTCGACCCCTTAAACCCTAGACCTTGAACCCTGCGCGCAGTCAACGAATTTACACTAAAGGCTTTCTTATGCGAGCCTAAAGAGGGTTCTGCCGGGCGACTAGCCTTAGCTTTACTCGTATCGTCAACCCCTAATGCTTTACGCTTCTTTGCACCATGACCCTTCACAACAGCACTGGTGGGGCTTGCTGCTGATAACCTATCTCGTAACGACTTCGCTCCCTTATCCGTGGCCGCGTCGGCCGTCCCCGTTACAGTCACGCTCGCGCGCTTCGGGGCATTCTGAGCCGCGCCCTCTCCGCTTTCCGATCCAGCTGCGGTTTTTTTCGTCTTCTTTGCTTTCAGGAACTTCGACGAGAACACGGGAGGCGCTTCGAGCGCCATCGCAACGACCCAGGAATGGTTGCCTGCAACGGTAACTTCTCCGCAACCACCGGCTAATGAGTTTGTATGTAGCTCGATTTGTCACCTCAATAGGATCGAGCTTGGTACAGACCCAAAACTCGATTCCGCTACAATAGGGTTTGGGATAACGTGAAATGACGTAAACCAATCGACGTAGGCTATCGATCGAGTCAAGTGCTGATCACGGTTGGTTGTTCAGCTAGAGACGACTGGTTCTCAGCGCCTCCCAAGTGCCTTTCATTCGTTTTGGGTGAAGGCCTACAAGTTTCCACAACGCGGACCTCGGACAAGGCTATGTTTGAACCAAGTGCCTACAGAAACCTGCCCAAGTCTGAAGAAGGGTGGTCCCAAGACGATATATACCCGGTAACCAGGCCAGGGTTTGTGGCGACGTGGAGAACATCATTTGTGTCGCGACTTGCGACTACAATTATCATTTGCGATATTCTCGCCAGAATCGACAATCGCTAGAAGAGCGCTGCGTCGTTGTTCTTCGCAAACTCTTTGTCAGAAAGATAATCAAAAGAGTGCACGTAACCAGAAGTTTCGATTCTAACGCACATCTGTCTCCTCAATCCAATCGAAACGGATACTATAGTGAGTTAGAAACGGCTTTCACATCCCTCAACAGCTGTTACGGGTGCAATGAATCGAGGTAGCGAGAATTGCACTAAGGTGTCAAACGAGTACAAAAATGTGAGCGAAGGCATGAGCGAACATTTATACGCGAAACATGCAAAACGGTAACGCGGTGCGTGCGAGCTTGCTAGTGCTACGCTGGAACGAGGCTCGGGCTAGTCCCGAAGCGTAGGCCGACACGGCCATGCCAGCAGTGCGAGGTTTGGTAAAACAGTGCGCGCGAAGTCGGCGAAGTTCCGTTAGCAGTAACGGGCGAACAATCGGCTGTTGCTGTACGCGATGTAGTCGGCTCCGTAAGGAATGCCGAGAAAATTCCTTACACTACCCCCCCCCTCAAGAAGCCCCCTCCGCTACGCGAGTGCGTGTATATCGCGGAATCCCCGGCTCCTCAGGTACACTTGCAGGGCAGGGTGATTTTCGATGTTGCTCAGGGGCACCCAACTATCTTCAGTTGGCGTGCGGTCTTTCCAGCGAACGAGGAATTCAATCCTCCTGATTCCCGTGGGGTGGCGGATCCGATGGCTCAGAATTTTTTCGGGCTCGATGATCGGCTCTGATGCAGGGCGAGTCATTGATTGTGGCCGGTGACGCGGCAGTTGACTTGTGGTCGGGATGTATGGGCGAAGTAGGCTGACGTGGAACGAAGGGCTGATGTATCAGTCGGTTGGCAACAGTAGGTGTGCGGTGACGGGTGTGATCATGTGACTGATTTGGAATGGTCCACAGTAGCGTGGTCGTAATTTTGGTACGTCGGGCAGTCGCAGATTTTGCGTGTCGAGTAGCACGTAGTCTCCAGATTGATACGTGACGGGGCGGCGGTGGCGATCAGCGTTGCGCTTAGCGATGACGTTGGCCTTTTTTATTGCTTCGGCGGCTCTGGCGCGGGCAGCTTGCAGGATTTCGGCGAATTGTTGTGCGCGTGGCGTTGGGTTGTCCGGACTCGGCGTCATGGGCACTGTGGGGTTCTGCCCATAGTTCAGGTAGAACGGGGACTGCTGCGTCGTGGCTGATGTGGCGTTGTTGCGAACTCGATCAGCGGCAGCTGCTGCTCCCAGGTCGTGGGGTCGTCGCACGTGGCACGAATCAACTGCTCCATCGTCTGATTCGTCCGCTCCGTTTGGCCGTCGGTCTCGGGGTGGTACGACGAGCTGAACTGTAGCCTGGTCCCGAACTGCTCCCAGAGGTTCTTCGAGAAGTTGCTGGTAAATTTCGTGTCCCTGTCGCTGATAATTGCTGCTGGTATCCCGTGCAGGCGAACAACGGCTGCGATGAACAGGCGAGCGGTCTCCTCGGCTGAGATCGACTTTTTGCACGCAGCGAAGTGTGCCATCTTTGTCAGCCTATCCATGACGACCATCACCGCGTCGTTACCCCCTGGGTTCGAAGGTAACCCTGTGACGAAGTCCATGGTTACTTGCTGCCAGGCGCGTTCGGGCGGTGGGATCGGCTGCAATTGACCCGCCTTCCGCTTCCTTGAACTCTTCATCACCTGACACGTCGGGCACGAGCCCACGTGCTGCTGTACGTCGGTCAACAGCTCCGGCCAGTAATAGTACCGCTGCAGTTGCTGTCGCGTTTTTTCTACCCCGAAATGTCCCGAGGAAATCCCGTCGTGTGCCTCCTGTAGTAGCAGCTCCCTCAGTAGTGAGTACGCGGGTACCCAAATGCGGTTGGTGCCTGCTTTTACGTAATAGACTCCTTTTGCTTCTGCCAGTTGCTGTGAATTTCCGGTCGTGAAAAATGGGTCGGTGCGGTATTCGTGGGTGAATAGGCCAGTTAAAAGCGGGTTGGTCTGGGCGAGTAGGATGGCATGGAGTTGGGCGGTGGGGCGGGTGAGAGCGTCGGCGATGTTGGATGCACCCTTTTTGTACGTAACGGTGTAGTGAAAACTGGACTCGAGATAGTCCAACCAGCGAATCTGTCGTGGGTTGAGATTCGGTTGGGCGCGAAGATACTGTAGCGAGCGGTGGTCTGTCCGTACTGTCACGTCGGCGCCAGTCAGGTAACATCGCCAAACTTTGAACGCGTGCACGATCGCTAGCATCTCGCGGTCGTGTATCGGGTAGTTACGTTCGGGCGGGTGTAACTTGCGGGACTCGTACGCGATTGGCTGGAGGCCGTTCCCGAAATCCTGCAACAGTACTGCTCCCACAGCGATGTCACTTGCGTCGGTGACGAGCTCGAACGGACGGTGGGGATCTGCAATGTGAAGGACGGGCGGGGAGCACAAAATATTTTTGAGGGCCGAGAAGGCAGCTTGCTCTTTCTCCCCCCACGTATACTCAACCCCCTTCCTCAGCAGGTCAGTCAACGGGGCAGTCAGCTTCGCCATGTCGGGGACGAACCGGCGCACGTAGTTGACGAACCCCAGGAAACTCTGCAACTCGGTCAAGTTGGTCGGCGCGTGCCAAGCCTGAATCGTCGCAATTTTCTTCGGGTCTATTTCCACTCCTGCAGCTGAAATAACATGCCCCAAAAACTCCAGGCGGTCCTGTAAAAACTCACACTTTGATGCTTTGGTCAGTAGGCGGTTCTCACTCAGGATTTTAAAAACTGCTTCGATGTCTTGTAAGTGCTGTGCTCTGTCAGGGCTGTAAATCAGTATGTCGTCCAGATAAACGATGACGCACTTATCTAAAAGCGGGCGGAATGCTTCGTTCATGGTCATTTGGAAAGTGGCGGGGGCGTTTGTCAGTCCGAATGGCATGACGGTGTATTCGAAGGATCCGTAGCGTGTTCGGAATGCGGTTTTAGGGCAGTCGGGTGGGTTGACGCGGATTTGGTGGTAGCCTCCTCGGAGGTCGATTTTCGAGAAAACCCGGGCTGTGCGCAGTTGGTCGATCAGTTCGTCGGCTCGTGGGATGGGGTAACGGGATTTGATGGTAACCCTGTTTAGTGCCCTGTAGTCGATACACATGCGAAACCCCCCGTCCTTTTTCGGTGTGAACAGTATGGGTGCGGCGAAGGGCGACGAACTCGGGCGAATGAATTCCTTTTCGAGCAGGTAATCGAGCTGCTTCCTCAGTTCGTCTAGTTCGGGTTGGGTCAGTCGGAACTGTCGCTGTACTGTTGGCTGTGCCCCCGGTTCCAGTTCTATCCTGTGATCGTGCGGTCGCTGAGGTGGCAGTCCCTTCGGCAGGTCATCCAGGAAAATGTCACTGTACTGTTTTAACAGTGCCGCCAGGTCACTCGGTACGTCGGTCAGCAGTTTCTGTAAATCGCCCCCCTTGTCTGCTGCCTCGGCTTCCCGAATGTCAACCGCGTACACGTCGGCTCCGGCTGCAACAGCGCGTTTCATCGTGATCGCATTGACACGCACCGACGAAGACTCAGGCGAGCCCCAGCGAGGTAAGGCGATGTTGTTACCATTTACTCGCACGGTGCAGTCACCCGTCGTCCAGTCAATTCGCGGATTGTGTCGTCGCAGCCAATCACGCCCGAGTAAAATGTCGGTTCCGTCGAGGGTCGTTGCGAGCATTTCCTGACTAAACGTGAAGTTACCCCCGCATCGAATCCGAACTCGGTCTACGCGTTCCCGTATCGCCAGCGGCGTGCCGTCTACCAGTCGTGCGTCGATCTCAGGTAAGCATCTGTCCAGTGGCAGTCGCAGTTTCC